TTAGACTCAAGGTTATAAATGTTCTAATCCCTATATCTCTGCAACCGGATGGTTCAAAACTTTAATATTTTAAATTTGGATATTTGTTCGAACATAATTAATTTAATTGAAATATCAGGTCTACGACATAGGGTTAAAAAGATACAGAGGTTAGAAAAACAGAGTTTGTGACAAAAACTCATTTTTTATATTATTTTTTTATGTATTCGGCTGGCCGCGTTCTTTCACGGGAATGAACAGAACGAACGATTAACAAAAAGTATGAACACGCCCAGCTTGTCTGTAGGATTGTTTAAATCCAATAAACGGATAAAACTGTACTGTACTGTACTGTACTGTACTGTACTGTACTGTACTGTACTGTACTGTACTGTACTGTACTGTACTGAACTGTAGAAAGACGGAAGAAAGAATGGAGAAAGACGGAAAATATATGGAAGAAAAAAGGAACATGGAAAATGAAAAGAAAAAATTCATAAAAAGAAAAGGAAAAAATGGAAAAAGGGCAAAAGGTTAGAAAAGATACAAAATAGGAGACTTGTGATTCTAAAACTTTAAAATATTGATTTGTGTCGAAATAAAAAAAATGTTTTCCTGAATATTTTCTAAAAAGTTTTTTAATCTAAGCTTTTTTTGTATATATCTATTTAATATATTTTTCTTAATATTTTTGTATTGAGGATATTTATGCTTTACCCAAACCCTTTAAAGGATATTTTTAGTAACTCATTACTTTAGAAACATTTTTCGCGGAAATTTAAAGTTTTGAATGTTCTTAATTAAAATTTTTTAAGTCTTAAAGGGACTAAAAGCGTAATCTTAAGTGACCCTCCTTTTGCGCATTTCTTGCTTAAAAGAAGTAATGGAGAAACTCACAGAATTAAAGTCTTTTTCAGTCAGAAAACGACTGCATCTTTCACATTTTTATTAGATTAAGGTTTCTAGGGTACCGTTATAAATCGGGCATCGCTGTCTTTTGTAGGGTCACTTGAACTTTCTCTTTATAAAATCCTACCCGATGCTCCAACTAAACCTGCTTCAGGGTTGCTCACAGAAAACATAAGACTGCCTCCCAGAACTCCTGGGTGAACAATTTATCAAAATTCATGGAAAAAAGTGAGAAAAGAAAATGAAAAAAATTACCTGAAAAATAAACTAAAGAAATCCTCCAAAAATGGTTCGTCATTTCAAGGGGTAATCCCACCTAGCATACAGCACAATCAATAAATACTTTCATAAATTATAATTAATTTAAAATAAATTTTCTGAATAAAAATACAAGCATACAAACCACAATTCAATTAAGGAAAAATGGTGGAAAATTAGGGATGGGCATCGTTTGGCAATTTTATTCAAAAGATCGTTTTCCGTTTTGGTGTCCATTTTGGGGAATCGTTTTGAAATATTCAAAACAGAAAACGATTGGAAAATCGTTTTTAAAAACTATATAACAATTTTTAAAATTAAAACGGAAAACGAAAAAAATAGTTTTTCTTCTCAAAACGGAAATCCGAAAATTCGTGTTCCGTTTTAAAACGAAAAACTGAAAAAATAGTTTTTCGTTTAAAACAAAATGATGGCCTTACTTTGAGTACCTTTCTATGAATACCTATTCCAGCGAACATTTATGTTTTGTAACCTCTAAGGATTTATTTGCTTTTTGTCACCTTAATAACATTCTGAATTTACCTCTCAAGTTGCAGTACCTACGATTGTTTATATCTAGAACAATACATAGTTTGAAACATCTAAGGTCTTCAACATTGGATCGCAAAAAAATAGAAAACCAGAGTTTGTGGCAAAGACTCAATTCCTTGGAAATGTAATGCCCCCCTCCCTAAGCATCACAAGGGGGAGGG